GAGTGGGGGTGATGCGACAGGGGCCCTGTGGTGCCTTGGCAGGTCCCGGGCCCCTCTGCTGGGGACACAGCTGGATGGGACACACACAGGGATGGATGGGACACACACACAGCTGGACGGGGGACACACACGGATGGATGGGACACACACACACGGATGGATGGGACACACACACACACGCACGCAGCCAGGCGGATGGGTACTCACACACAGCCACAGAGGGATGGACAGACACACACACACAGATGGACACACGCTTGCAGACACACACGTGCGTGAAAAAACCTCTCTCTTCTGTAAGTGGGCAGCAGAGGCAGGCTCAAGTGTGCTCAGGGTGTGTTTGCCTCAGTTCGTACATCCTCAGTGCTGTGTAGGAAACGTTTCCAGCTGCTTCTTCCTTCACCTTATCTGTGGGGCTGATGTGTCCGAGCAGTGGGATGCTCCTACAGCCTTTCGTAATACCGGACTCTCCCCGTGTCTCCCAGCATCTGGGCTACTGGTGTGTGTGGGGACCCGGGTGCTGCCTTTGCTGCCGCCGGGCTGCACTCAGCAGTTTTGGTGGCCGAGGGACCCTCTTCCTCCCTGTCCCCCCTTCCCTGCCGCCTTTGGCTCCCAGCTGGCCTGGTCCCCCCCTACCTGCCTGGCACCCCACAGTGGTGGCCAGGCTCTGGCATGTGCCGGACCGGGCCGGGGAGGCTGCCAGCCCCGTGCCACCCCCTCCACCCCAGCAGGGCACAGGGACCCCCATCGCCCCCACGGAGCCGCTTCTGCTGTGCGGTGTCACATCGCACCGTCGGAGAGAGGTGTATTTCACTGCTTTGCTTTCCTTCCCGCCCGACCGCTATTTGCCTCTGTGTGTCATAGTTGGCTTTAGCGCAGCCCAAAAGACTGTTTAGAGGGATTATCCTATTAAAAGAATATGGCTAACGGCAAGAGGAGTGCCCTCTGTGCTGAGTGTTGCCATCCCGCCCCCTCTGCTTACCAAACCCCTGATCTTTATGTCACTTGATGTGGCGTGAACCCTCCACCCATCCGTATGGATCCCTCTGGGGTTTGCCAGAGGTGCCTGCTGGGGCTTACTGCCTTACCAGTTCCCCACAGCTCACCCCGGCACTGGTCCAGGAGGCCCCCGGGTGCCGCCATCCCGGAGCAGTGGTGGTGTGGCGTTATCACCCACAAACATCACCGCTTCTTGCCCCCGTGCTGCCCCTCGGTGAGGCTACGGCTGTTTACCGGCTACTGGCCCACAGG